TTGACGTCCACGCATCTTAAAGTTCCCAAGGTTGAGAAACACTGCCTTACCCTAACCTACTGTACTACAGTAGTCTAATAAAAAGTTCTGTAATGAAGAATCTGCATAGGGTTGAATGGTTGGGTTCTTGAGGTTCTCCAAGCCGGCTTTTCTGCTTGCAAACATTTTAGGACCGAGCCGAAAGGTCTGTGAACGGTCTGCCCAAAGCAATGCCTACTCAGAGAAGAGAACAAAAATGTTCTTTAAACCCCTTTTCAACTACGTGGAAGGGCAAAAGAGAGCTGACTCCAGAGTTGTGGAAGGTCTCTAAAAGCTTGGTGACCAGAGATCCCAACCTCTGGAACAAGGAAAGGAAAGAAGATTCAGTGTAATCTAGAGAACCAGTAGGTCTTGGGGGGCTGGTCACTAGAGGCCACCTAGTAGACAAGAACTAGTGGTTTAAACTGGGCTGTGGCCCTCTTATGTCCTGATTCTTTCTTTATTTAATGTATATATCACATGTATACAACCGCCCCTCTCACAGAAAGCGAGACTGGGTGGCCTACAACAATTCAATCAAATAACAAATCGATTAAAAGCCATCATTACGAAAGATAAAAACGTGATTACTAAAATACTACATCATCCGAAACTTTTAAAAATTTGAATGTGAGAGAAACATGGAAGGTTCATAATAGCCTAAATGGCACTGGTGTTTGTTTGGGGGTTTTTTGGACTGAGATCCTGTCCAGCTGTGCAAGGTCAAGGAAGGAAGAATCACAGCAGATCTCAAGAAGGGTAAACACAGAATCTTGGAAACCCCAAGAGGAATTTCCAACCTTCCTGGATGAGGGAATTCATTCAGGTGGTCTCCTTGAAATGCTTCTCCCCAGGTTTCTCAGCACCTGGGCTGTGTTGGTGAGATAAGCCCCCAACAGATTCCTCTCCCGTCTCTTCACTGTTTATGTCTAGCCTTCTTTCCATTTCTCTCCCAGCCTCTCCAAAATCTCTCCCAGATCAGGGGCCGGAGGGAAAAACTGAGAACACCTCCCAGGAGAACATCACAATTATTGAGCATGAGACAACGGAGGGACACCACAGCCACACTGTGGTCTCCTCCATCAGAAAGCCCCAGAGAACAGAGACAGAGCGTGTTGAAAAAAATTCAGACCAGCTGAGGAAAGAAGAGGAGAAGAAATCAACACATATCCCAACCTTTGCAAAATCCTTACTGGAGCAAAGGAAAATAGAAACTCACAAATGACCCACTCTTTGGTCTTGGAAGTTAGGGAAAAGGAGCTGTTAGTTGAGAAAGAGAAACAGGAAAGTTGGGGATGAAAATGCTCTCTTTGAAGGAAAGGATGAACTAGGGTTCTGAATATTATATTGCACATTTTACTGCAGATCCTACCTGGTGGTTTCCAACTCAGGTGGGTTTCTCTCACAGCCATACCACTCAGGTAGAGGGCGACCATTTCTCCATCCACCTACCTGGCTGGGGAAGGTATGAACTCAACACACCTTGAACCACCAGGTGAAGGCTGCCAACATTTTTTAAAAAGAGCAGCAAAGACTGTTATGCAATTTTGGGTCATCGCTATCCAGATGTTGCCCTGTGAGGATGCTGGAGTGTGACAAATGGGGACGCTGGGGGAACACCTGTGGTTGTTGACCACCCTGGCCCGACCTGTTCAACTGCCCCTTTCCAACGTGCCTCAGCATCTGCCAGACCCTTACCAAAATAAAACCCTTCATGCTTGCGTTTGGGATTAAAGAACACGCCCTGCGCCCGGGCGTTGACGTCCGCCCCTTTCTCAATCAAGGTCTGAGTGATGTCGTACTGCCGTCTCTCGATCGCAATATTTAGGGCTGTCTGTCCTGGGATTGAAAAACAAAACGAGAATCACCGCGTTTGTCTGCGGGTTTCCATATGAAAAAAAGAAAAAAATTAATTTAGATGATCAACCTCCTTTGCTTTTGGACACCCTGTGAGCAACAGGCAGGGTCACTCACCTAATCATGGTTCCTTCCACTTCAAACTTTCAACAAGCTTCTCGTTCAAAATTACCTTTCATGAAAGGCGTTTATGCTTATAATTCACTTCCTTTGGGTCACCTGCAGTATATTGTTGCCTGTCTACCCTGGAGATCTGCCCCATGACATTTAATGTTGTTGTGGCTATGACACACTGTGGGTGTTCCTAAACATGGTTAACCTTTTATACAAACATGGTCCACCCATCCAACTTTGGTCCTTGGCACCTTCAGGAGTGTCTACAAGAGATGGGGGGACTGAGGACCCAGGAAAACTCAGGAGCAGCCCCTTCTCTGGACCCACCTATCCTCGGAGGTCAGATGTGCCTCCCCTCCTTTAGAAAAATGATGAAGGCCAGGAATGTCCATGGGGCTGGAGGGGGTCAAAACAGTCAAGATGATGGCCGTGATCATGCAATGAAGTCACTGCACAATCGTGGCTGCCATCTTGGCTGTTCTGACCCCTCCCACGGATGCCCCTAGTGAAGACAGTCCCCTTCCAAAGGGCATTAATAACAGATCTTGGCCTGGGAAGTTGTGCCTTAAGTAACAATGACAACCATGGCTGGCTGGCTGGGGAATTCTGGGAGTTGAAGTCCACCCATCTCAGAATTGCCAAGGTTGAGAAACACTGGTCTATGACTTAATATATTCTCCAACGCAGTGTTTCTCAACCTCAGCGATGTTAACATGGGTGGACTTCAACTCCCAGAAGGCCCCAGCTGAAGCCCACCCATCTTAACATCGCTGAGGTTGAGAACGTTGCTCCAATGTATTCAGTATATTATCCAATACGTTCTCCCATGCAGTTACTTGATGATTCAAGATCCTCTTCTTCAATATATAATGAAAAATATATTTTTCAATTTATATTCTGGGTTAAACCTCTAACTAGATTGAGGGTGTTGTGCGAATGCTACCTATGGAATTTTTTCCTCCTCTTCCAAGCTGGAGTAAGTCTCTCAGCAACTTCCCAGGGCTCACTAGTGAAGGAGTCCCGTGACACTTTACGTAAATTTTCAAACCTGGGACAGGCTCAGATACCTCTATAGGCTTCCTCTGTGTAGGATGCATTAATAAGCTTTTCAAGGATTTGGTTCTCTTCTGCGAACGAGAGAAGCATATTCACAATTTCTTTCGTATGCTGGTTGATGTTTAACAAGGCTTTCATTAGACAGGTCTTCCCGGTGTCTGAAGAGGTCATTTTATTCATCAGATATTCTGGAAAATAATAATAAATTATCCCTGACGTTCCACCAGGTTAATTAGGGCTGATAGGGAATGCTACCACGTAAACTAGGAGAAAATTACTCAGAGGCAAATAAGAATCCACAATTGTACCAAAGGCCTGTTTAAAGAAACGAATAAAGCAATTACAGGTATTCAGTGATGCAGTGATCTGGATCCAAGCTGTTGTTCATAGGGCAGGGCGCAAAAAGTTCATTCTTTTTCCTAGGGATGGATAAAACTTGCCATTCTGGGGACAGAGCATTCACAGAATCCTGGAATGTTCTGGAGAAAGCCAGAACATTCTGGAGAATTCCAGAATATTCCAGAGAACTCTGGAACATTCTGGGGAATCCTGGACCGTTCTGTTTCTTCTTCTGGAATGTGTCCATTCACCACATCTTAGACCACCAGAAACCCTTTCCTGCTTTCAAAGACTTACTTCCAAAAACTACCGGATCCCCTCCCAGAATGTCTACATGGGCACGTTCCTACTACGTCCCCAATCAGACCTGAAATTCAGTTTTTTTTAAGCAAATTGGACAGTTATTAATATTATTATTTCATTTTCCCCACCCCTTTCTTAATATGTAACTCAATACCCAGTTTGCCTTTTCTCATTGCTAATGTTAGTCTTCTTGCTTTCAAAAGCCACGCCAAAGCGAGAAAGCCAACCCCCTAAATTAAATTGAAACCCATTCTCCCTATAGGGATGCATATCTTTGGCCCAAAGTTTTGGCGATGGCGCCAGAACTTTTCCAAGGGTGACATTGAGAGGGAAAACAATTAGTTCCTTGGGGAATAATCCTACGTGCATCATTGAATGAGCTTTAAAGTTAAAAAAAAGATGAGAATCCATTTGAGTTTTTGCCTTAGCCTTGTCTGCTTTTGACCCTACTTAGCAGGGTCCTGGTTGTTGTTGTTGTTTAGTCGTTAAGTCGTGTCCGACTCTTCGTGACCCCATGAACCATATTGCGCCAGGGTCCTGGTGGGGAGGGTAAAAAAAAAAAATACAAGGGGGCAAATGTACTTTTGTCAGCCCCACCAGGTAGTCCAGAGCAGGAAATCCACTCCACAGGAAGGCTAGAACTACTTTCACTGAGATTGTCTCTAATAACAGGCTCTTGCAAGTCGGATTGTACTGGACTTCCTCCCCCTTCTTATACTTATGAGAATCAGGGAGGGGTCTGTCTGAGCCCCTTCCAAATGTTATCTGCACGTTCTGGACTCAAAAAATGTTTCAGCCCCTTTTCCTTAAGTGCAGTTCCTGCATATTTCCATCAAGGTTATCTTTCTTACTCTCCACAGCAGTGTTTCTCAACCTCGGCCACTTGAAGATGGGTGGACTTCAACTCCCAGAATTCCCCAGCCAGCTTCCGGGCTGGGGAATTCTGGGAGTTGA